TCATTGTTAAACACTGAAAAGCCATTCTTTTGGACTACTCAGATTCATAGACTGATATGAGGAAAGTGCCCTCTCTCTCTATGAAAACAGAAACAAAGAAGGGTAGGGATGAGATCATTAGCACAGTTCAGCCTCCGCTCCTGTTCCAACAGGATGTGTTATGAACTGGGGTGGCATAGATGGGGGCAGTTTCTGCTGAACTTGTCACATTGGCACAGGCAGAAGCATTAGTCTACACTTAGCAGTCGAGGCAGATGGTGGCTGTGACCTCAGCTGTTGCTCTGCTAGCTTTGTCCTGGTCAAAAATCCTTTCCTTGTAAACAGATGCAAGTTTTACATAGTAAAATGTGTGAATTTGTACCTAGCAAAGTAACATCTACTATATATGTTTTACAAAGTTTTCAAATAAAGATATAAGAATGAATGAATTATACTCCTTTATGTTTTGATTGAACCAAGCTTTTCTTTGTTTTTGAGGTGCTGGGATTTGAACTTGGGCCTTGTGGGCTACATCTTTAGCTCCTAAAATCAAGTCTTTAAAAATACTTTACTTATTATTTTTTATGTGTATGAATATATTGCCTGCATGTATGTAAGTGTACTGTGTTGTGCATGCCCACGGAGGTCAGAGGAGGACATCAGATCCCCTAGAATTAGAATTAGCGGAGTGCTGTTAGCCACTATGTGGGTGCTGGGAATCAAACCTGGGTCCTCTGCAAGAGCAACCAGGGCTTTTGACTCATCTCTTCAGGCCCTTAAAGAAGTCTTAATACTGTTTATCAGTAACATTTTTAAAATGAAAAATGTTCAAAACCACATAAGTGTTCAGCATAGACAAAGTTATAATTTAGTGACAGTGTGAAGCTTTATATTTTACAAAAGAACTCAGGTGTATATTAGTATGTTTGAATCCCACAACTAACTTTTGAAGTTGATTAAAAATGTATCAGTGTCTCTGCTTTCTTGTTGCCTCCCCATCTTTATTGATATAATAAAACACAGCGAAGCTTGTCACCCTGTTAGAATGATCTGGAACCCCAGATGTGAAATGAGACTCTGGGGCTTTTTCAACTGTGTTTTTCCATTTACCCATGCAAATGCTGCCACCTCAGCAGTGATGGCTATTCTCTGCCATGTCCCTTGAGTTAATCTCTGAGGGCAGGATCAGACTGTGTTTAAACACCATCACACCAGCCCCTTGTCCCTTTTGTAACAGAAATGTGTAAAAATAGCTGGTGGATGTGGTGGCACATGCCTTTAATCCCACCACCCCAGAGGCAGAGGCAGGTGGATGTCTCTGAGTTTGAGGCCAGCCTGGTCTATATAGCCAGTTCCAGGACAGCCAGAGCTACACAGTGAGACCCTGTCTTTAAAAAATGTGCAAAAAATATCTTTTCAGTATTAATGACACAGCCTGTCAATGGAACTTTAAGTTGTATCCAAAATGATAATTTGGGGGACATAAAATTTGAAAAGAGTCAAATACATATAATATTTGAATTTAAGTTCCCCTAGGCCTCCTCGTTCAAAGGAAAGCTCTGAATTTTTCCAGTATCTGTGAAGATATAAAACTATCTTTCATTCAGCAATGGTGAGTTTTCTTGCCAAAGTCTTTAGTATTAGAGGAAGTAAGATACTAAGCTTTGCATCCCATGGGGGTCATTAGGGTTTGCGGAAATATCTAAAGGGAGCACTGGACAAGGAAACTGGAGCTCACTAGTGACACATGCCTGTTGTTACCATAGCAGTTACCATAGTTACATCAGGAAAGGCTATAAGAGATGTATTCTTTCCTATAAACATTGAAGCGAGTCATGAGTAATTTAGGATCACTGGGGTAAATAGTCTTCCATCTATCTACTGGGCTTCCCTCATGGCTGCCGTGGGTTTAAACATGTAACAGGGGCAGAAGGAGGGATAAATGATTTGTTTACAGTCTGGACAGTTCTTGCTGATATTATTTTAGTTAACCTTTTCTCTCAGAACCTGCTACATTCTCCCACTAGCAAATTATTGGAATTAACAGCCACGACTAATTTTAGTTAGTCTAGGCACAATATACTACAGTGTTATAAAACAAGGAGACTGCCTCTCATCCTTGAGTTTTCTAGGCTGAAGTAAGATGGAGCTGCCTTGGTGCCTGTGCATTGGTGGGCTTCTCAAATCTGGCTTTCTGAGCATGAAGGAATTCACCCTGACCTAAGTTCCAGTGTTTGACCCTTTCTGACAGCTCCTCTCCCCCACTGGTTTGTGTTATTTACTTTGAAGACAACGTTGCTGGTGCTGTACTCCAGACAGACAGATGTACTTTGTTCCAGACTTAAGTGACTGTTTCCATATTTGTTCTGTAGCCCCTTAAACCAGGTACATTTCTCAAACTTTGTATTATTGCAGCGCTCTCTAAAGATCTGCATATCCCGGCCCCATCCTGGACCCGGCAGTCAAGGTGCTACTTAAAATATAAGTAGGATCACTTCTTTCCTTAGCTCAATATACTTCCTTTGTCACTCAGAGTAAAAATGAAATATTTATTTGTCTTGATGCAATTTTCTTTTCAAAACTGACAGTTTCTGTCACTATGATAAAACTCCATGACCAGAGCAACTTATACAAAGAGTTTATTTGACTTAGGATTCTAAAGGGTAAGAGTCCATCATGGTAGAGAGGCCTGGTGGCAGGAGATGGCCGGAACAGACAGCTGAGCACTGACATCTTCAAGCAGGCACAGGAAACAGAAAGCCAGACTGGAAGTGGGCATGGCTATATACTCTCAAAGCCCTCCCACAGGGACATGCTTCCTCCAACATGGCCACACCTCCTGAAGGTTCCATGACCTTCCTTAAACATTGCTACCAAATGGGGACCAAGTGTTCAAATACTTGCAACCTATAGGGGACAGTCTCATTCAAACCGCCACAGTTACCAATTATATTGAGCCATAACAATGTATAATTCTCTTTTAAAAAAATTTCCAGGAGCCTGTAAGACTCTATTTCCATGTGGCCATGCACCTCCTCTCCTGACTCTTAGAAGCTTTCTGCCCCCTCTTATGCAATGGTCAAACTATTAGGCAGCTGATTACTGCTGGATGAGGAAGAGCTGATCTTCTTTTAGGCAATGACTCTACACAGGCTAACTAGACCCCAGTGGATGAACTTGCACTGAGGAACTAATGTCTAGGGGCACTAACTTTGCTCATCAGGTTTTAACATAAATGACAGAATGCATGAAATCCAATTGGGGGGCTATGGAAGGGTGCCAATGGGGAAGGGGGTATAAAGATGATTAAGATGTTGTATATGAAACACACAAAAATTCAATAAAAAATATAGAAAACCCTTTCCTCCCACACCTTCCTCCTTTGCTCACATTATTCCAGGCCCAGTGATGGCTTGCTGGTCCTAGAACACGCCAAGGCATGCCTGGTTTCCTTCTCCTCAGAAAGCTCTGATTTAAATAACTGCCTGGTTATTTCCTGCTCCTCTTTCCATCTCATCTTCCTTTCCTGGTCACCTATCATTGAGGCTTCCCCAGTGACTCTGTTGAACATAGCCAATCTCCTCTCGTGCTGGTATTCTCTATCCTCTCTCTCTGTTTCCTCCATTGCCTGAATTCCCATCTGACTTATCATTTTATTTCTTTTTGTTTCTTGGCCCCTCTCACTTCCATCCACAGAAAAATGCAGGCTCCAAGTGGGCAAGGAAACTTTATTGTCTTAGTTCATTGCTAAGGTTGGCTCATAAGAGCCTAGCACTCAAAATGATACTGCCATATGAATTGCCCTGGCATATCCCCAACACCAACAAACACCCCTGGTACAGATAGGTCTTTATGCACTTTAATGTCCTTGGTAAGAACTTCCCTACCAGCTGGGGTCAGATTTCTGAAATCATCTCTGCAGTACTAACTAATCCTATGTGTAGCTGAAGAACAGTGGTGGATATACAAACTAATATTAGAACCTTTCTTTGGGGGTGGAAAGATGGATCAGCAGTTAAGACCACTGGCTGCTCTTGCAGAGGACCTGGGTTCGGTTCTCAGCACCCACTTGGTGGCTAACAACTGTCCCTAACTCTAGTTCCAGGGGATCCAACACTGTCCTCTGGCCTCCCCAGGCATTGCATGACACTGGTGCACTTAGATATATGCAGGCAAAACACTTATAAAATAAAAACAGATAAATCAGCTCTCCCAAATTTCTTTTGCATATATGGTACCTAGTTTTTTTTAATGGTGTGATACAGTATTTTCTATATCGGACCCAGTAACTCCTCAGTCTCAGAGCATCCTTTGTTATATGGGGAAACTTCCCAATGGATGGGTAGAATTGGTTTGAATTCAAGACAAATCTTTCTTAGGCAAATCTAGGCAGTGGTTTTGTGCAATTGCCTTCTATGGTATGATCCCCTTACCCACAACCACCATCCTTACACAGAGGAGGAAAATTCTTTACAATATGACACACTAATAGTGATGTTTCACTTGAGACATCTCTATTGACTTATAGCTTATCATGAGCTGACTGACAATCACTGTAGAAACAAACTCACAGGACAGGACACCATTTCCCAATGGCAGATTTGTCAAGTATATTTAGTTTAACTTAGTAAGAATGTTTTCAGCCATTGTGTTAAAAAATGACAGATATTTTAATGTGAATGAATAAAAAACTCTGTGATGGAATAAATTGTACATCAGGATGAGGAAATCTAGGTTAATTACCGAAACAAAAATCCTTATTGCTGATTACAAGGTGTAGAAATTGTTGTCAACTGAAAGTTACTCCTTCCAGTCACATTTCAAATTATCCACCATTAATTTGTAGCACTTCCTACAAAAAGCTTACCACACATTGTGGGTAAAGAGACAGTTCAAATTCTTTAAAACACATATTTAAAAAGTCTTTCTCCTTATACTTAAAACACCCTAAAAACCACAAATCAGCATGTATTCTCACATTCCTATGATCTAATATAAAGCATTAGTGTTTTTATACCCACAACAAAACATGGACCTGCAGAAGTTTTCAAGCAGTCCTCCAGCAGCTTCATGCGCATCTTCTGGAGCTCAGGGCTGTCCCATTCATCTTCACCAACTCCCCAGTACAGATCTATCACCTGGGGACACATGGATAAAGCAGCGTTAATTCCCTGGAGGAAAATTAAAGTTCCCTGTGCGCTTTGTTCTCATTCACAATGTCAAGTGAATGTGACTTCCAAGTTCCCTCTTTGTAGCATGCTTTCCTTTAGAGAGGAAAAAGTGATTTTCAAGATCTATCTAAAAAGACATGCTTCATCCCACGATGGTTTGGGAAAGAGCACTGTAATTTCTTATTTTGGTTCTGATTATATAGTTCACATGGGCCCAGATAAAAGGAAACATTAAATGTTTGGGGTTCTGGAGTGCAGGATTTAATTACACTGAAATAGCAACAGGTTAAAAAAAAAGAATGCATCTGGGATAAATTCAGCATATTACTTGTGACAAATCACAGTGTAAAAATCACTGTATGTCCTGATATAATGAGAAAATGTCTTGTTGGGCATTAGCATGCTGTTCTGATGGTAAACATCTATATTTCTTTAAAAAAGAGAAAGAAACAAAAAAAATCCCCCATTCATATCATCCTTTATTTTTGGGGAGGGATATTTTGGTTAAGTCTGTTTTCTGTAAGCAGTTTGCCTTTCATCAATACGTACCTGAAGAACCTTATTGGAGAACAGAGAAAGGCGTGCCCTACTGAGACGTGAGGATAATAGGACCCTTTATCTCCTGACTTCAAAGACGTGGGAAAATTCTGCAAGTCTGTGAAAACTTTCAGAAGCAGGCTTTTTGAAAAGCTGTGGAGAGCAGTGTGTATGTGTGTTTCATTCCCTTTACTTAAGTGCTATCTGCATAAAGTGAGTGTTTCCACCTGTGGCTTTGAAGGTTTCTGTTTTCCTTCCCTTGTTTCCCACAGCAGAAAAGAAAAGCCCCGGCAGTTTGCATGGCCTTCTGCAACAGGCACCCAGGAGGGTGGGTCTCCTCTGCTGTCCAGGCTGATTCCAGGGACTTTGTGTGCTTCCGGGTTCTTGGCTGTGACCCACCCAGAGGTTGTGTTTGTACAAGATACTTGACTACTTTATTTTATTTTTTGGGACAGGGTTTCCCTGTAGCTACAGCCAGCCTGGAATTTGCTATGTAGATCAGGCTGGTGTTCATCTCACAGAGATACACCTGTCTCTGCCTCCCAAGTATAGGGATTAAAGTTGGGTGCTACCCAGTGCTGAGATATTTGACTACTTGAGATATTTGACTACTTAAATTTGAGTTTTCAGAAGGCTTTTGATTTATCAAACCAAAGACAGCCTCTTTAGAAAATATTCCCATGGGGCCCTGGAGCGATTTCTTAACAGTTAAGAGTGTTTGCTTTTCAAACACAAGGAACCCAGAGTTCAGATCCCAACTCCTGGTTAACTCCAGTTCCAGTGCTCACAGACAGACTGACAGACACAAAACCACATAATATAAATTTTAAAAAGTACTATTTCCATTGTCTTCCATGAGTTCTAGCACATTTGAAACTGGCCATACTCATACTGATTTGGGGAACTCTTCTGTTTAAAGTACATTATAAGCTTTAACCTCACAGTATTAAGGAAGGGCATATCTGACAATGAGATAATCACCTGGCTGATCAGTCTAAGAATTTCTAGCTGGGACCACTGAAAATTAAATATAAATGAATGAAAATGTAAAACTCCAGCTTCTCAGGGGGTCCTGCTGACTCTTGTGTTAAGACAACAGGGATGCAGAATAACTCTCCACCACACTGAAGTCCATTAAACACAGTTGCATACTACTGAATTTCTAGAAGACCTAGAAATCATCACACACACACACACACACACACACACACACACACAAAATGTGAAGTAACTAATTTGATAAGTGGTTTGTTCATATTCCTTGTGTATGATTTAGAAAAGTGCCTCTTTTTTGAGATGCTTTAATTTCAGCTGCCAGAACGTTGCTAGAATCTACTAAAATAGTTAAAATGGGACATTTTCAGTCATCAATCAGTAAACAGTCAAAATAAAAATCCAAAGCCATTGCTATAGGAATGATACTTGTGATTGTTCTATGTACAATATAAAAATCCCACATTAACTGATATTGTTGGGATACAAAGTCATGCACTGTGTGATAATGTTTCAGTCAACGATGAACCACAAACAGGATGGTCTCATAAAGTTATATCACCCAGTTATACCACAGCCATCCTAGGTTGTATGAGTATACTGCCTAGCAAACATTTCTCAGGATGCATCTTATTTATTTATTTATTGGTCTTTTTGAGACAGGGTCTTCCTCTAGCCCCAGCTATCCTGAAACTCACTATGTAGACCAGGCTGGCCTTGAACTCACAGAGATCTGCCTGCCTCTGCATCCCAAGTGTTGGGATTAAAGGCGTGCACCACCACACCCAGCTTATTTTCTTTTTAATTTTCTTTTTATTTTATGTGTATGCATGTATTGCCTGCATGTATGTAAGTGCACCCATGTTGTGCAGTGCCTGCGGAGGTCAGAAGAGGCTGTTGGATGCCCTGGAACTGGAGTTACAGACAGTTGGTAGCTGCCATGTGGGTGCTGGGAGTTGAACCCGGGTCTTCTGCAAGAACAGCCAGTGTTCTTAACCACTGAGCCATCTCTCCAGCTCCAGGATGCATCTTGTTGTTATGCAGTGCATGACTATTGAGAGAGGTCTTACTTGGAACAAATGAGGAAGACTGGCAAAAATGAAGTTCATACAGCAAATGCTATAAACAGGTCCTTGCTCTTCCTGGCTATTTCAAAGCATTTTAAGAGGTCACCATTGGATTTTTAACATACACAGATGTCACATGCATAACAATAATAGTACAAAAATGTGTGCATGGGGGAATAGAAGCATACAGAACTAATCTTTGTACATTCTGCTGAATTTAGTATAAATTATAAATAGATTCAGATAAATTATGCTTGTTCTAAAATAACTAGTAAGAAAAGTCTCAAAAAATAGTGAAGAAATCATTGAAGAAATTAAAATGCCACATAAAATTTACAAAAATTTAATTAAACAACTTAAAAAAATTCACCTAGTGCATCAACAAAGCAGAAGAGGAATGGAGGAACACAAACGACAGGAGACACACAGATAACGAGCGGGTATGAATGCAGCTGCACCAATAATACTCTGTAGTGTGAAAGACTTAATAAATCCATACAGATAAAAGATTCAAATTCATGAGGTCAAGAAAATAAAAGGATGGAAAAGATATATCATATAAGCAGCAGCCACAAGAAAAAGATTATAAACAGAAAATATAACTAGAACAAAAAGCATGCTATGTAATAATAAGAGAGCCAATTCATCAGGAAAGTATGACATTGTAAATGTATTTGAAATTGAAGGCAGAGTCCTAAATATACAAAACACAGAAATAAAGACAGATAACTGAACTACAGTAGTTGGATAGTGAAAGATCTTATAGTCAATAAAGATAGAAACAACCAGGAACAAGATCAACAAAAAAACCTAGAAGACTTGAACAATACTATATACCCACTAGACCTACTGTGTATCTATAAGAATCTACTCAGTAATAGTTGACTATGATTTTGCCAAGTACATATGGAACAGATTTTGCCAAGTACATATGGAACATCCTCCAGGTCAGAATTCATGTATAAAATAAGCCTTAATAAACAAGATTTAAAACATGTACAATATATTCTCTGAACATATTAGGAGACCCTACATTAATAATACAAAGAAATTTGTGGAAACTAACACATTTACAAGTAACCAATGAACCAAGGAAGAAATCACAAGGGAAAGAAAAAGAATACAACATACCAAAGTTACATGATGTAGCTAAAGTATCACTGAGAAGAGAATTTATAGCAATAAAGAACTATATTAAGATCTCAAATCAATGGCTTAAGTTTCTACTTTAAGATGCTAAAGAAAGGGCAGGCAAGAATAATAAATAGAATGAAAAAGAAAGGGGGAATAAATCATTGTAGAAGTTAATGAAAGAAAATCAACAAAAAAAGAAACATTTTTTAAAAGATCAATACGATGAGACCTTAGCAGACAGCCTGAGAGTGGTTGTTCTGGCCTCATCTGGTTTAGGTGCTGAGAACTCAGCAGACCACCTGAGAGCACCTGGATCCAGCCTCCACATGGTGACAAGCATACTACACATCATTCATCAAAGAGCTTCTTTTTGCAACAGATGGAAGCTACTGCAGAGTTCTGCAAGTGGTCACACACAGAGAATATACACCTGAGAGATATACATTATCTACATTGGAACCTCTACACCTAAGGCTCGTGGAACATAGAAAGAGGGGTGGAGAGAATACTAGTGTGTCCCTCAACTCTCACCGTGAAGCTTTCTTATACAATAGAGTGCAATGCACACAGAAGGCCACAACTGACTCAGTTTTAGAGAACAGGAGATTGCAGAGTGTGTGTCCTTAGATGGGTCTCCTGTATCAAACCTCACCCACCCACGGCTCAGGGACCATTGCTGAAGACAGGGGCAGAAAGACTGTAAGAGCCAGGGTTGGTCCATGAACATTGGGAAGCAGAGGCTTTCAGGTTACTGGAAGCTTGCTCATGTGAACGTACGGCAATGGTGGCATCGTGCACAGGACCCATGCTGACTTAATTAGACAAGGGTCTAGCATGGAGCAAGAGAAATGGGTGGTGGGCAGGCCCTAGACTGAGAACTGTTGGAGACTGATTACTACTGGGTAAGGGGGAGTAGACTTTCCTTAAGATCTCAAGATGAACTGAATGGACTCCAGTGGATGAACTTGTACCAAAGGAAATCAGGGTAAAATGCTTGACTGAATGGGACTTAACATGTATGGAAGAATACATGAGGCCTGGAGGAGGGCATAGATGGGAGGGGTCTTAAGTTCATTAAGAACTATTGTATGTAATGTACAAAAGCTCAATAAAAATATTTTTAAGAAAAAAAGATCAATACAATGAAACTGTAGTGAAAATTACAATGACAGTAAAGGAAGAAGACTCAAATCATTAAAATCAGGAGTGAAATGTTATTGTTTCTCACCTTATGGG